TTTACACCACGGAGTTCGGACCTTCCGTCCTACGTCTCCGCTCCCCACTCCCGGGGAGAAATCCACTATCACAACCGGGTTTTCTACGCTCACCCGAATAACGTTTACACCTCACAGTGTCGGTTTTCAACGCTCACCGAACAACGTTCACTCCTCACACTCGGTTTTCTAGTTCACCGAAAACTTCACAACATACTCGGTTTTCTTGCTCATCGAAAACCTTACACCACTCACAATGTAACAAATATAAATTTGTTCTCTACAATAGATGAGAACACAATTAAGCACAACTCAATGTTACAATCTCTCACAACCCTAATATACTATGTATGCAAATACAATAAGCTCAAGTGGGTGTGTGTAACAATGAGATAATATAATCAAATCTAAACTCAATATAAAAACTAGCTTTAAAGAATGATAATCAAATAACTAAGCAAATGTAAAGCTAGATAGAGTTTAGAAAACTTCTCCAATAGATGACAAGATGGAGAGATGGAGATTGGAGCCCAAACAAGAAGATGATCTCCTCCACTTGTGAAAACAATCTTCAAACCAAACAAACACTAAAACACACTTAAACCCTTGTTTAAAACTCTTTAAACTTGTTTAAAACATTTCTTGAGTACCCTTAGAAGTATGAGGGCATGGAGTATATATAGGCTCATGAAACAAGCCAAAAAACCCAAGAAAACTAAGCAAAAAGACAAAAAATGGATATATCAAAATCTGGAAAATATAGCCGTTATGCTACAGTAACCGCGTCCAGAGACATGTCCGGTCAACCGGTCCGGTCGACCGGAGTTACTGTAGCAGTGCACAGCTATTTTGTAAAATCAATTTAAAATAGTAAATGAACTCCAAAAGTTATAAAATTTTGTGGGAATGTTCTAGACATGTAGCATAACATGTTAGAGAAAGAATTTAGGAAAAATCTTTTCCCAGTTGAGAGAAATAAATATTTGAACACAAATTTACAGTTTTTGAAAAACTGCTGACATACACGATTTTGTAAAATCAATTGGGCACAGTAAATCAACTCCAAAAATAGTAAAATTTTGAGAGAAGTTTCTAAACATGTAGATAAACATATCAAAGAAAGAATTTATTAAATACCACTTCCCATTTATGAAAACTCATCTGTTTTGTAAAACATGCACGAACATGCACGAATGAAACACATGATTTTGTAAATTCCATTAAACATAACAAATCAATTCCAAACTTGATGAAACTTTGCGAAATGTTTATAAACATAAAGACAAACATGTTAAAAAAATAATTTCTCAATTTTCATTTCTTAATTGTGAAAACTCATTATTTTGTAAAAACATGCATGAATATGAATTTGTTAAGAACTTGTTTTTGACAAAAAGAGTTTAAACGCATATTGAAACTTTATGAAATGTCTTCATAAACATTATAACACATGACTATAAAGTAAACATGGTCAATAAAACAATATCACAAAGTTTTCTCAAAATAGCTCATTTTGTGAGAAAATCCATTATTGTGTGTGTATATGATATTGAGCTTAAAGTATTAAACACACATAATATAAACCTATACTAAATTTACCCAAGTTTGATCTTGATCTTCATTGTAGCTCAACTTGGTATACATGCGGATGAAGCTTGAACTTGATCTTTAACTTTGAATTGCAAGGCTTCACCGACATTCCGCCAACCTCCTTTGGATATGATCATTGAAGCTCTATTCCATCCATCCTCCAACAACGTTGTTTGTCTACAATACATAGGAATGCACAGACACTAGACAAACAACATTAGTGGTAAATTGTTTGTTAAACATCATCAAAACAAGAAGGCTAACAGTGTTGACATCTCGAGGAAAGTTTGGGTTACCTCACAACCACTAGAGTCGAACCTCTCATGTCATGCATGTCCTCATTCAGTATGCCATTGCATCTCACTCCCCTCATCATTCTACATAACTTTGTATGCTATGTTACATACGAGGGCTTCCGACTAGAGCTCTCTTCTTCTCTGCATCTTCATCACTTACCTTAGTGCGTACAGTGATGTAGACTGGGCAAGCAACATCATGGATTGAAGATCTACTACCGGATACTTCATCTTTCTCAATGACTCTCTAATCTCTTGGAAGTCTAAGAAACAAAATGTTGTCTCTTGCTCCAGTGTCGAATTTGAGTATTAAGCCATAGCATCCACAACTGATATTGTCTGGCTATGACACCTTCTCCTCGACATGAGAGTTTCTCCCCCATAGAAACTCCTCTACACCATGATAACATGAGCACGATTAAGATAGACAACAATCCCGTCTTTCACAAGTGGATGAAGCATATTAAGATACATTATCATTTCACTCATCATCTGCCCCTTGCTAACATGATGACTCTTCCCTATGTGAACATTGATTTCCAACTAGCAGATCTCTTCATGAAGGCTCATACCATACAGCAACATCTATTTCTTCTTGGCGAATTGCCCAGGTAGATCCAATTGTAATTTGAGAGGGTGTTAAATATTGTACATGTTGTCTATCTTTGGTCCCACATCGATTAGGATAGTAGAACAATATCTCTTTATCTTCTATATAAACACCATAATATCAATGAAGAGTTTATCTATTTCTTCCAAAAGCTCTATATTTATCAATATGGTCCTCCCCCCAACCCTAATTTGAAAATAAAACACATTTTTAGCTCAAAAGAATGAGCCTGACTATATGCAACGTAAGCCACATCAGCATCACATAATGTTAGTCACTTGAAAATTTGGCTCTAACCTAAAATAGGCCTTGTTGTCACCATGTTCATATACCTTGTTGTCACTAGAGTAAGAAATATACAAGTTGATATTTAGGATCAACAAACTATACTAATCTGATAATTTTGTCTTCTAAAAATAATACACAAACCACTTAAAATCATTGTTAGGTCCTCAAATCTTATAATTTCTTCCACTTTAGTCCTTTTAGCCAACTAACGTTAGATTTGAAGGGAATATACCCTCTAACTTAGCTTTTTATATATGGAGTTTCCAGTTCATACATTTTTACTATTTTAACCTAAACTTATTTTTTAATGGTTTTAAACCCCAACACACTATTTATAAACTAAAACCTAAGTCCTCTCACCAATAATCCTTTTTCCTCTCATCCTCTCTAAAATCTACATGATACTCTAGAGAACTTACATGAGCCAATCTCTAACTTATTTCTAATCTACAAAGAATGGCCTAGTTTTGATGAGATTATTATTATTATTATTATTTGGCATCAGATATTTGGGCCGTGTTGCCTAGTTCCCTATTAGAATTCAAAATGGAATGAAGACTAATTATGGTCCCATTTTAGTAGGTTATGACAAAAGATATGTTTCAATGTTCAAGTTCATCTCCTATGAGAGCTTCAAGTTTTGGGCTAACAAAGCATTATTATGATTTAGAATACATGATTTCGATTTGAATTATTGAGGCTAACAAGAAGTGTTATTTGTGGGCTAAGGAGATCAGTTCACTCTTTTGTTATGGAGTTTGATTTTACTAGATTCATGTAAGTTGTTTTTCTCCCCTTAGAAAATGGAATTTTCCATAATGAAAATTCAATATAAACTTAAATAAAAGGATATGAAATGGTTTTTCCATCAGAGACATTATAGTGTTATGAAGCACGTGATTTTCACGCGCACAGTTAGTTATAACCTTGTTAGTTAGGAGGGTTTATCTGACAAATTTATTAAGGTAAAGTGACACTTTTAAAGTTCAGGGGGTTTTCTTAATATTGGCCAACCTTAAAGGGGGATTTTGTGAAATTTACCCTTTTACATATGGAAATTTATTAGACTAGTATATTGTGTTAACTCTAAATACCAATTTGATATAGTTTCTTACTCTGGTAACAACAAGATATATAAAGTGGGACATAGTGACAATAAAGAAATTTTTTTGGCCAGAGAAAAATTTTCAGTGCCTAAGTGCTATATGACTCGTAACATGACTCTTATATGGCTTCTTACGCGGAAGATAGTTGGACTCATTCGTTCGAGTTCGAGAGAGACCCCCCCCCCCCAACCCCCAAATAAAAAGGACTCAAGAGTGTAGAGATCAAATTGACGTGTTGCTCCTAATGTTGGCAAATTGAGAGGGTTCATTAAAAAATTGGAATCGAATTGAGTGTTTTCCTTTCTCATAAGATTAAAATTTGTCTTGTCCATTCAAATTAGGGCTCAAAAAGGGTGGGGATCAAAGTTTTTTTAACTTTCAAATTAGAGCTCAAAAGGGGCTCACTCAGTTGAGATCCCGCTTAACCTTCACCAAGTCAACCCAAATTAAGCCACATAAGATGCACGCAACTTGATCTCCCAGGAAGTTTTGCTCTAGCAAAAAATTAGGCATTGTTCTCACCACTCTCCGGTTAATGTATTTTGTTATCGCTAGAGCAAGAAAATATACTAAATTGATACAAAATATACGAAACTGACACTTAGACCCCATTTGGTAAAGGGACCAGGAAGAGAAATTAAGGAGAAACGCTAACATAGTTAGCCCATTTGTTAATCCAAAGAGTTAAAACTTTTTAATTTGTTAGGTTAATTTATTTTAATTCTTGTAGTTATTTTTTGTGTTTGGGAATAAAAAAAAATTAAGACCACTTTTTTAAAAATAGAGGGGTTCTTTCTTAACCCATCTACAATGATGGATTTATAGAACTCTTGTTTTGAGAGGTTAATTCATTTTATCCCCTTTAAAAGGATTTGTAAACACCTTTTTTTTGTGCTTCACAAATTATTATGGTTAACTCAATTTACACTATATGTAAATTTTTTATGTTTGACAGGCTAAGAATGAGTAAACTCTCATTCATCCTTAGCTTAACCCTTACTAAACGAGACATCAGCTCAACAAAATATACCAATCCAATATTTTTGCCCTTCTAAATAACTTCAAATTAACCGGGTTAATGGTTATGTACCCGCATCCGGTCCAGTTTGCTAATAAAAGCCAAAAAGGAAGGGATAGCGAGCCGGTGTTGCAAGCCCGGATCGGGTTTATGGTTATCTTACCAAAATTTCTAGGGTTTCTCTCCGCCATTTCTTCCCCCCGATCGCTGAAGCCACCGGCGCGCCTCCTTCTTTCAACCATCTTGTGCTCATTTACCGGCGTGCTAAACTACGCCGAGGCGGCGTGTAAACCCTAGAAGGCAATCGCGAGGATCAGGTACTGGAAAGTGAGAGACTGTGAGTGACTGACTCAACTCTGTTATCAATAATCGATTTTTATTTCCACGATTACCCTTTCCCCATTCAACTTGTCCATCTTTTAGCAAGATTTGATCGAGTTAGTAGCCCACTGCATGTTTCCGTATTATAACTAGCCCTCATTTCTCATATTTCTCTTTTGAATTTCTCCTAGGTTGCGTTTGGATTGAAGGATTTGATTGTTTTTTTTATAATTTTCAACCCAAATTCTGTTGTTTGGGAATCCTTGTAATTTCAGTTTTAGAATTCTCAATTTCAAATTCATTGTTTGAGGAAGGTTGGAATTTCAATTCTAGAATTTTCAATTCATTTGATTGGGAATTATTAGAATTTAATTTCTAAATTAGATTTATCTGACCGAAGACAATTTAGAAACAAGAGTATCTTAATCGACTTGCATAGTTGTCCATCAAGATACGCAAAAAAATTACAACTCTAATTAAGTGCATGAACTTGCAGGGAAATCATGATACAAACAATAGTTGACTTATACTCGTGATTAATTAATCAAATAACTCAATCACAATCAATGCAAACTTATAGTCACCAACATAATACATTAGCTAGTATCACAGAGCCACTCATTTAAATTTCTGTTTATAGCAGATAGCCAAGAGGCTCATACTTTATACTTTGAACTATTAAGAAGGCTGAACACAACACAAAAACCATATTTTGTAAGTACACTGCGCACCATCAACAACATAACCCCATCATAATTGACATATTTAAGTATCCCTCATGCAATTATTGGTAAACACTAAACAGGCTTTTTTAAAACTCGTCGTCCATTTGATTCAAAAGAAATTTTCTTTCAAGTCCTTATACACGTCTACTTCTTGCATCCTCTACTCAATTTAAGAAGCAAGTCAAACTTCACGTGATCTTCAATCACCTGTAACAAAAAACATGCCAAATCAGCTCCACCATTGATGGGTTTCTCAAGGGCACAATTTTTTTTTTCTTTCAAACAAAGTGAAGATACGAGGAGGCAGACCCAATATTTTTATTCAGAAGTAAGATCTATCACAGATTGTAGTCAACCAATAAATAAAAGGGCAAATATTTTGACATTAAACAACCCAGAAAAAGATACTGCATTACAACAGAAAGGTTCATCCAAAGAAACAACAAAAATCAATCCAGACAAAATGGCAAATAATGCAACCAACAAGAAGAATAAAGATGACTAATACATCAAAGAACAACTACAGATGTCTTTTCAATAAAATATATGACTCCAAGAAAGATACCATAGTTAAACATAATATATCAGTTATGCATGTGAAACAGTAATTAAAATCAGTAACATGGAGAGAGCAAATTGAAAATAGAAATAGGTCAACAAAAAACTATGAAGTTCAATAGACTATATAAAACTGCATCTTGCTCATGAGAATTAAAGATAAAAATAATTTTCTTCTCAGTAAATAAACTTACAACCAGCATACTTAGAAACTATGCAGAAATTAATTAGTTTGGAATAATGATAAAAATGAGTATAAATGTTTTTATTAGCTTCTCAGTGTCAAGCTGATAGTTTCAATATACTGACTCCATAAACTATTAGTATGGGAGTCAAAATCTCTTTTATCTTTCCTGCTTATTACCTAGAAGAAAGGAGTAATATTAGTAGAAAAAAAATAAAGAGGACCTGAAATTCATATTAAAAACTTATCATCACAAGGAATAGCAAGCAAAAGGCAACATCATGAATAGCATGTAAAATTGTCCAACCACTTAACACTAGCTCTTGGGTTGGTTTTTGCCACTTCAGGCCCCTTTTTGCCTCTTCGGACTGCTTTTCAACAACTTTGGACTGCTTCGAGCTGCTTTTAGGCCACTTCAGTCACGAAAGTGCTTTTCCAGCTGCTTTTGAGCCATAGCGTTTTCTGCTCTTTAGAGTGCTTTTTGAGCGCTTTTCCTCGCTTTTTGCAACATTGGTGCATGCGGTTAGAGGTTATTATAATTTTTAAATCTATCGTTTCTTCTATTTGGTATATTTAGTCGCCTCCATTGCACATGACCAAACACGTCAATCGATTCTCTCTCATTACATTCAGAATAGGAGCAAATAGGAGCAGAAGTAAGTCTAAGGGTACATGGTCACAAGCTATTATGAAGGTTATGATTGTGGTTAACTTACCTGAGAAGATAGCTCTTAACTGAACTAAAAGAAGAATGAAAATTGGGATAAGGAACTTGTTGTTTCTTGGGAAATTTAATCTTTGCAATACTGTTTTTTTTCTGTTTAAGTAAGCTTTTTTTCTCTCCCATTATACTTCAGTTCATATAATCTTTCATAAACTTCCATTTTTCATGTTATGTTACTATTAGAAATTTAGAATTATATTTTGAATCCAATATGAACTTACTGAATTTTTATTATTACACTAGTTATGCAATGCTGCATTTAGCAGCTCATGTAATGTGATTTTATCTGCATTATTAAAACAAGTGGGCGCCGTTTGAATATTGTTAATATTTCCACTATTTTCCAATTCTTGAAGGTAGAGAATTTGACAATGAACTTTAAAAAAAAGTGTAAATGTGTAATAATGAAATATGTTTTCCCCCTCGGTGTAGGTTGGAAACACTACATCAGTTCAATTGCTTATATCAGATGACTCCAGCAGTAGAACGCAGGGACCATGCTAGACGGGGTTTATCTGATCGGTCAAAATCACCTGTTAAGACCCGCCATTCCCCCCAGAGAAGGAGCCCCCCTCAGAGGGGAAGATCCCCAAGCCGACGACGGACTCCTGCAAGAACAAGCTCACCAAAGAAAGATAGTTCGTCTCGAAGAAAATCTCCTGTAAAAGAAAAGATGCTCAATCAAGTCAAATCACCAAAACATTCTCGAGGGAAACCATCTACAAGAAGCAGTTCATCCCCTTCACCATCTCCTCATAGTAAACGCTTAAGGAGAAGCCAAGCTGAACGTGAGCCAGAAAAAAGGAGTAGAGAAGACCATAACAAGGAGGGTGAGAGGGAATTTAGAGAGAAAGAGAGGAAGAGAAGTCGTTCACTGTCTCCTCGTTCTAAACGCCTAATGAGCGCTCAAGCTGAAAGAGAGTCTGAAAGAGTTAAGGTAAAGGAACATGGGAGAAATAGCACTAGGAAAGACCATGAAAAGGGGAGGCATGGGGAGCATGAGGAGACTAAGGATACTCTTTGCGAGAGAAGGTCGACAAGAGAGAAGAATGATGGTGTTTCTTCTAGATCATCAAGACGTGATCGATCAGTCTCGCCAAAGGAGCATAACCACAGGAGAAAACACAGTTCTCACTCCCCCTCCAGAGATTCCAAGGCTGGAGCACATGAAGAGGTGTCTGGTGATATCTACTTCCTGATATTTCTATTTTGCATAGTTCAGTTGTGCATATTCGAGACGTCAGTTTCTTTTTGCTAGTGCAAAAGTTGATTTTTCAAAAGTTACTACCTCATTGTAGGTTTAGAGAGATGATAGGGTTATTGCTGCAATCGATTTTTGCTTAAAGAATTGACTTTCATATTTAGCATTTGAATTGCATGTTAGAGTTTGTGTTGTTATCTTTGCATCAATATTCTCCTTATGAGTTTTAAGATATACTTAAACATTGCATCTGCAAAGAGTTCTAAATTTTCAAACTGCTAGATAGTTTGTTGTTCCTCCGGAGCATTGAATCATGGTTGGAACTTCTGATCTGAAAAGGATAAGGCTTGCTGCGGATTTTTTCATAAAATGTTTTCTCAAACAAATTAACAGTGATTTTCTTGCTCTGGTCCTTCAGTTTCCAAGGAGGGAGTGTAATGATATGTTCTCTGGACATTATCATATGCATGCTTAGATTTAAACATTATGTAGTTGATATTCGTTAGTCTTTTGGCCTGACAAAATTGTTGGCGTTTCGGTTTTGGATGTTGATCATTTGATGATAAAAATAACACTCATGTAAGAAGACACTCAGTTATTTACGTGGCCTGATTTTGTCTCACGAACTTGTCTTCAACATATAATAAGGTGGTTACTGATGCAGTTGTAGATACGATTACACATATGTCCTCATCATGTCCATAAATCACAATGCCTATGAAGGGTTAACCATATATTTTCAGTTCGTATCTTTTCCACTATATTCTCTTTGCACCTGTATTTAGATTAGTGTTCCACCTACGCGTTTGACAGTATAAAATTTGAAACTGGTCACTGAGAAAGGGGATTTACTTCTTAGGAGTCCAAACTCCTTACTCCATCTCAGGTGTGATTATGTTTACCATTAAGTAACATCATGTTAATATCTTTTTGTGTATAATTATTCTTTTTTGGCAGACTTATATACACAATGTTTTGTCTGCAGTTAGCAATCTTTAGAGGGACAATTCTGGTTCCTTTATCTTTAATTAAATAAGATCAAGATGACTAGATCAGCATCTGATGTAAACTGATTTTCTATTGCAGGCATCACGGTTGAGACCAAATGAACATTTCAGGTGATTATTATATTTATTATATTTCCATTTCATTTAAGTCGCATTTGCATTGATATTTGCTCTGTTACAGAATTTGCTGAAATAATATACTGTGCTGCTGTTATATGAGCTCATTGAATCATTATCAATGTTGATACTTTTCTTTCACATTGATATTGACATATTTTCTTGGTATCTGATACATGTGACTTATTCCGAGGAAGTAATACACATTCAAACTTCTTATCTTTCAACTACTTCTTGGACCCTTTGGATGATCTCTTCTTGATGAAAGTTGCAAAAATGTCTCATAATCATATTCTTTTTCTGTTTAGAGTCATGCCGTTCATCTGCAGCAGCAGTTTTAATTTGCAAAAGGGCATATCTAATAGTGCATGAAGCTATCTGTTTCGCTGTGACTGGTGCCTCTGGGCAACTGCGGTTGCAAAAGGACCACTTTTCTAAAAACAACTTGCAACCAAATTGATTGCTAACTGTTTTTTCCCAAGAATTGACTCATTTCTGCAAATGCAGTCACAAAAAAATCTGGAGCTGCTTGATAATATAAATTATCAGCTCTTACATTCGTCATTACTTTTTAATTATTTGCTGATGATTCATCTGCATTTCAAAAACTGCATTGTTCTTCTCTTTGATGGTCCATAACTAAAAAGTGAAATGATATCATTTTGTAGGGATGGTGATCTTGATTCTGTTGCCATGATGAAGGCTGCTGAAGAGTCCCTCGAAGCTAAGGAAAAAGACAAGGTAATGTTTGTTTTTGCCTACTGCTACAGTTTATCGATGAAGTATAAAGTCTGGAGGGTTTCCTACCTTCGTGGTGAATCTTCTTAGAAGCACTATTTTCTGCTTGTGCTCTCCACTATTTTATTTTCTACATTTACTTTTTTAGGGATTGATGTTTAAGTAAATGCATTATTAACACATTCTTATGTATATATTAAACGATTAATTCATGTTAGCTATATATGGATAACAGTGTTTGATTTTTTTTAACTTGCTACAAAACTTTTTGAAGGAAAATCGCTTCAAAACTCAAAAGACAAGCTTACGCCTCATTGCTTAAAACATAACTAAAGTGAGCACTTCGCGCTTTCATGAAGCGCTATCATTTGAAGGCCATGCTGTAGACAATAAAAGAGGATATAAAATAACTTTTGGCTAATACTAATCCATATTTGTAAATAACTATGTGACTATAAATATTGTATTTAGCTATTCAATATGACAGTTAAAATTAGGATGGGCTTCTATTCAATATGATCACGTAACTATAAATAACTTATATATAGGGGTGCTAAACCGTATCCGTATCTGAGGAAATATCCGTAACTGTATCCGTTAGGATGCGAATATGGTTACTCAAATCTATAACTGATAGGATATGATTACTGCTATGGTTTTGTAGTGGAATATCCGTATCCGTATCCAAAATATCCGAATACATATTAGTCAAACTCTTACGATAGTTTCGATTCTTAAATTATGGATTTGTGGTTAATTTTGATGATCAAGATGACTAATCTTAGCTTTTTAGTTATAATGAACTTATTAATGACCTCTTTTGCATCACATAAACCATGTTTTTCTCAATACTATCTAGTTTTCTCATATCCATTTTTGTATATACATACATATCCGCTTATATATCTGCATCTATATCCGTAACCGTATCCGATTTTAGCGGATATGGATATGAATTTGCCTTACCGTGGTAAATCTGTATACGTATCTGTATCCGAGATGGGGATGGGTAAATGAATATGGATATGGTAAGCATCATATCCGAGCCGTATCCGGACCGAATGCACCCCTACTTATATATCTTATATATGTAGCTTAGCTTATTATTATTTGCGTCTATATTTAGTGCATTTAATTCTTATTTACTAATTAAGACCTGAATGTATCTATTTATAAATTGTTATATTGTTCCATATTTTATGTCTATAATATTTAGAAGTTGTAAAATTAAAACATACTTAACTCATGAGGCTTATGCCTCATGCTTTGAATCTTATGTCTTCTCTTCATAAAAGGGTCTAATCCTTCGCCTTGTGCTTCCGCTTTTTAAACATTGATGGATAGTCATCCAAGGACCTTATTTTCCCTTCATATGTTTTTTGGTTTAATGCAGCAAAAGCCATCATTTGAACTTTCCGGCAAGCTTGCTGAGGAGACTAATCGTGTTCGAGGTGAGAATTCAACGATTCAATTTGTACTCTCCCACTTCCTGAAATCTTCTCCAGTTGTGATATTGTCATGCCAAATAACTATGAGTCTATGATTAATCTTTTTTTTTTCAAGTCTTCTGTGTACTTTATGTTACTCTTAAGTTATACTGCATGCAACACATGCAGTGTAAATGCACCTGTTAAAAATGCATTTTGATAGTATCTTCTCTTAATCATTCTATTTCAGGTATTTTATGTTTTCTTTTACGTTTCAGGTATCACTCTCCTATTTAATGAACCAGCAGATGCTCGAAAACCTGATACTAGATGGCGATTGTATGTTTTTAAGGCTGGAGAAGTGCTGAATGGTAATAGTTGTGAAGACTTTGCTTAGTAGTTATGTCAAATAAGTAGCCTTTTTGAGATGCACGTGCATTGACATTACATCAAATGATCACATGCATTTGTATGTGATTTTGTCAGAAAATGACTTATTGTCAAAAAGAGTTTCCTGGTTGCTTTGGTTGGCTTCAAGGATTGTGCATCAGATACACTTTGTCCTTAAGGTGCAAGAAAATGATATGAGATCCATTTCGGAAACAGCTTGAGCATTAGTTATCTATATTTGTGAATAAGATGCAAGTCCCCAAAAGGAGATTGTGGCTATCAATATTTAGGTTCTTCCTCTTTGTCCCAATGACTAGATCATGCATTCTGATAAAATTTTCCGTGTATTATTAGCAGAAATGTGTGAATTATTCACTTATCTTTCATTAGGTTCTCTTCAGATATGATCAACTCCCCAGATCATATATTATTATTTTAAAGTCCCTTTTGGTAATGGGAGTCACATTTTAAAAACCCAAGAAATGCTGTCACAATGCATAATACTTTAAAATTCACGGGAAGGGAAAGCTTGAAAAAATTCAAAATTCAAAATAAAAAAATCCCATGTTTAGCAATGCCCCCCACCCCCGCGCGCTGGCAGGTTTCCTCTATTTCAGCACCCTTACACCTGCCCCCATCCGTACCCCAAAACAAAACCCCACTCCGCTCAAGAAAAAAAACCCACTGTGTTATCATGTGCACTAGACAACTAGTGCATAAAAATGAATTGTTGCTCAAAAATATCAATTGTTTTGAGGTCATTACATGAACTTCATCAACTAATTGTAACGTTTCCTGCTTCGCCATGAAAGTAACTTATTGATCAGGATTAACGAGAAACAAAAAGATAAATACTTTCTTAGATATTTCTTTTGTGCAAAGTATTCTTCTTTTACTCTGTAGAAGTACTTTGCGGTAACTTAAAGATGAAATAGAACGTTGAATTGCAGTTACTCTCGGTAAGATAATTCCCTCAGAAGTTGTAGAAATTGTTTTCGCTTCGATAGAAATTCCATCTAGATCTTCTTGAGCGCTTGGTGAGAAAGCAGTCAGGAAATATAATTATTTAGAACTCTAGATACAAAATATAAGCTTGATTATCCAGCCTCAACAAGTTGTGCTTCAGTAATAAATGGAAATACAAAGCTTCCCTGTGAGTCTGGTTTATGAAATTCTTTATCCTTCTATTTTAATTTTGAACGAGAAGAGGTTTATGGTTCACTTGTTAAACCTTGCCCTCTAGCTTCCTCAAGGTTTTAAATGTCGGCCGGCATGTCCGACATGTCGGCTGACATCGGTTTGAGGGCTTGACCGACATGACATGGATGTTTTCAACTCGTATGTGCCAAATCGAAAATATTAGGGTCATATCGGGCATATCAACCTATTTTTTAGCTTTGAAAATTCGGTCGATATGATACTTTTTTTAAGATCTGTTTTTTGTTATCAGGTTTGGGTTTAGTGATAAATACCTAAACCCGTTTGACCTGTTCTCATGTTTAAGGGTTTCTTATGAACACGATAGAAAGAATTTATGAACCCAAATCCATATATTATTTACTTTTTTATATGTTTAGTCTATAAAATTTATAAATTATGTTTATATTGAATTTATGAATGCTTAGATTACATTTAGGACATGATATTATACATATGCGCACTACCCGATATGGCAATCCGATATTTAGTCAATGTCCCCCGATATATCCTTGATTTCCGCTATCCGACATAGATTTCAGCCATCCGACATGAACCCGACATCCGACATTTAAAACCTTGAGCTTCCTCATGATGCACGTCGAAGGCTTAGGCACCTGCGGCATGTGATTCTTTATCTAGTTAATTATAAAACCTTAGTATGGTTATAGTTCAGGTCAATTTGGCATTTGCAAATAGCAACTAGCAAGGTTATTTATATTGACAAGAATGGAACAATGATATGATTTTGACGTTTCATGAACCATTTTGAGAGGAGTTTGTTATATGCTATCATAGACACTTTTAGTTCATGAACTGGTTTCATGAAAGTATCAAATTATTTGCCCCTTTGTCTTTGTATAATGGTGGATTTGGCATGAGATATTGTTTTTTCACTTACTGCAATACTGCCTTGTGCTGAATTTCTTAAACTTGTTTCTTCACAAATTAGTGTCGGCTTCAAAATGTGGTAAAGATTGGCTAGTGTTTTTGTGTGAAGTACAGCTATATTTCGTTTCTAATGGAAATATGCCATGAATAGATCCCCTTTATGTGCACCGTCAGAGTTGTTATCTCTTCGGACGGGAAAGGAGAGTTGCAGATATCCCTACAGATCATCCTTCTTGCAGCAAACAACATGCTGTTATTCAGTACAGGTAAGTTCATCATCATCTATTTGTTGATTTGGTAATCCTTTCGCGTACTAGTGTATATACTTTCTTGTTTCAGGCAAGTGGAGAAAGAACAACCTGATGGATTAATGAAAAAGCAAGTAAGGTAATGGATCAAACATACTTATTTTTTGTAATCACTTAGCAATTATTCTTTGTGGTAATGACCATTTTGAATTGCGTATTTCATTAGGCCTTATATAATGGATCTTGGTAGCACGAATGGTACTTTTATCAATGTAAGAGTTTATGGCTTCTCTATCTTTTAAATTTATTGTAAAGTTATTTGAACATTTTCTCATGCCTTTTGCAGTCTACTTTCTTCTTTCTGACTGTGTCTTTTGTGCATGCAGGATAATCGCATTGAATCGCAACGCTATTATGAACTTTTTGAAAAAGATACAATTAGATTTGGTAATAGTAGGTACGAATTAATGGCTATGCAGATAAGGCTACTTTAGCGCACATATGCCTTGTTTCCCCCCTATTTATACTGTTTAACTATTCATTTCATATTTTCTTGTCCGTATCACTTGAGTTCACAAATTTCATTGTGTAGGCGGCTAGATTTATCGTTGGGCAAGTCCAAAGGGTGTTGATATGTATGGTATAAATATAATTAAAAAAAATCTGAACTACTGCTTTTTTACTTTTTATCTATGCTAATCTGAAAGGTAATCTAGAAGCTATATTTAGTAGATCAGGGTAAAATTGTCCAGAAGAGTTACATGGTATGGTAAGTCATGGCTAGTAAGCGGGACAAGTTTAGGGTGCTTTTCTATGACTTATAAAAGTTCGGGGTTTGTGCAAAAATTACAATGTTCCGGGGGACGGGGTCATCAGAAAATTACCCTTTATTGTTTTGAATACAAACATGAGCCCTCTGCGGCTAAGGACCTTTTACTGCCATTTTATTTATTAGTGACCTTCTTGGATTTTGTTTATTTTTCTAGGATTTGTAGAAGAAAATTACACATGAGAAGTGCAATTTTTTATTCTCTACGTCTACCTGCTTGCAAATTGAATTGCATGACATGTAGCATCACCTTATTCAATAAACATGCTGGGATTACCTGAGATGATTCAGTTCACCAGTTTCAGTTTTCAAGCTCAAAAATTTACCATGTGACAAAAGTTAAAGAGATTGGCCAATTTGCATGGTTTAGAAATAGGATA